GTTTTATGCTCCCCTTTAACCTTTGGGGGCCTCTTTCTCTCCATATATTACCCAAGAACAGACAGCAACTGCTACCATATAGTCAAGCTACAATCACACTCTATAATAAACACCAAAATCAAGCAAGAACCAATACCAACTGCCAAGCACCACGGAGGCAGACAACACCTGTGAAAATTACTCTGAGTTAGGCAATAAGAAGAGTAAAAAGGGAAGCCCATATCCTGATCACATTTACCTGGAGGCAATCAGAATGCATAAAAAATACCAAAACATGCACTCAATTAAGTATTAAGTCCACAGATAAACACTAAACATGTCCAAGAAGAAAAAGCAGATAACCATAACAGTACATGACCAGAAACAAGATAAAATGTCTGCGACAAATGACCTAGAAGTAGACCTGGATGCCATTCTTTAAGGAGGGCAGGCCTTGGAAATGCCTGCGAAGGAATTCAGAAAAATGATTATAAAATGTTTCAAAACACTTCAAAATGGAGTTGAGAAACATAAGGAAGAAGTCAGGAAAGCGATACGGGAACAATCAAATAAGATAGATACAGCATTGGAAACAATTCAAAACCTATAGAAAGCGGTCCAAACAATCAATAATAGAATATCAGAAATAGACAATACACTGAAAAGGCAAAGGAATAGAACAGAAGAGATGGAATGCAGAACTAGTGATCTGGAAGACAAATCTCTTAATACCAATAAGATAGAAGAGCAAACAGAAAAAAGGATTAAAAAATCTGAAGAAGATCTAAGATTCATGTTGGACAACATGAAGAGGAATAACTTAAGAATTGTCGGCATTCTAGAACAAGAAGAATCATACATGTCTACAGAGGAGATAACTGAAGTGCTTTAGGAAGAAAATTTTCCTAACATCCTGAAAAGTGAAAAGATAAACATTCAAGAAGCTCAACTAACCCCAGGAAGGATAGACCACAAAAGAAAATCACTGAGACATATCATAATCAAGCTCTCCAAAATCAAAGATAAGGAGACACTCCTAAAAGCAGCTAGGAAAAACAGAAGTGTTACAAAGAAAAGCAAGCAAGTCAGATTAAACTCGGATCTCTCAGTAGAAACCATGCAAGCAAGAAGGCAACAGGGAGACATACATAAAACCCTGAAAGAAAAAAAAAACAAAAAACTGTCAACCATGAATCCCTTATCCAGCAAAGCTATCAAATATGATGGTGTAATCAAAACATTCCAGGGTAAACAGAAGCTAAAGGATTTTGCCAAAGCCAACCCTGCGCTACAAAACATCCTAAAGGGTATTCTGTGAACTGAGAACTAACAAGAACTGATAACAACCAGAGACTGACATACGTGGCTGGACCTCCCAGAACTAAATCCACAGAAGGAAGAGTCGAGAACAGAATAAAACTATAAGAAGAAACTCAGAGAATCTGGAAGGTCAGTCTGTGATCAAACAATTACAATGTAAAAGAAGGTAAACACGTAGGAACAGAGATCCAGATGCTGAGAAGGTCAGGTAGATTACAGGATAAAATAGACTGCACTAAATGGAAGGAAAAGTTAATGGAATATAAAATAACCTCAAAGAAAATTAACACTTTACAACATACCAAGAGAATGAAAATCCAAGAACATGGGAACATTAAAACTATGAAGAAACTCACAAGAAAGAACACAAAAAGTATGAACTCAGCAAAGGAAGACACACTTAACAAAGAAAGCAGCAACACCACAAAACAAACAAACAAACATATGGCAGCAACTAATCCTATACCTCCTTTAATAGGAGGAGACTATTGAAAGTGCCATGGGCTGCCAAAAGAAACCAATAGATCCTTTTTTGAAGAAGTGCAGCCAGAGTGCTCCTTGGAGGCCAAGATGGCCAAACTTCATCTCACATACTTCAGACATATTGTCAGGAGGTCCCAGCCGCTGGAGAAGGATATCATGTTTGGTAAGGTGGAGGTTCAGAGAAAAAGAGGAAGACCCCCAATGAGATGGATTGGCCACTGACAGCATCAATGGGCTCAAGTCTGGCAACAATTGTGAGGTTGGCCCAGGATCGGGTAGTGTTTCATTCTGTTGTACATACAGTCGCTATGAGTCCGTACCGACTCAATGGCACGTAGCACCACCAACAACAAGGCAATAAATTTCTAGGCCTGGGGGCTCAGAACCATAGTTTCATCAGTTGGCATAACATAGTCCACAAAGACAATGTTCTACATCCTACCTGAGTGAGTAGCATTTAGGATCTTTAGCGCTCATGAGCGGCTGTCTAAGGGGCAGCTATTGGTCTCTCCATGTGTGGAAGAAAGAAGAGTGACAAGAATTGAAAAGTCTTGGAGTCAATTAGTCCAATGAATGAATGGAATATGTGAACATCAGACTCCACAACTCTGAGACCAGAAGAACTGGACAGTGCCTAGCTACCACTACCGACTGCTCTGAATGGGATCACATTAAAGGGTCCTAGATAGAGTGGGAGACAATGTGGAACAATACTCAAAATTACTTAATTTCAATAAAAAGTGACTGGATTAACTGATCAGAAAGAGACTGGAAGAACCTAGACTATGTCCCTCAACCACCCTTCAGGTCTGGAAAGGAACTCACCCTTATAGCCCAATTTTCAGCCAAGCAGTAGATAGGTTTAACAGCAGGAGGATAACAACCCTAGTAAAGTATGCTCCCCATAGAAAGGTCAATCATTCAAAATCAAAGGAGCCACATTTTCCTAAGCACAAATTTGAGAAGGATGGGAAAGGGGGTGGAATGTAAACGGGAACCACAGAGAGTAAGTGGGATGACTGTTGTTGCATGGAGGGGATTGTAATCATTGAGATGAAACAAAGTGTGGGATTTGTAGATCATTTGTTTGTCTGTGGACTTTCACTCAATCCAAAATAAGAATTATAATAAATAAATAAATAAATAAATGAGAGAGTCAACAGGTTAGTCCTGGTGTGGCACTGTAGGATAAACACTGGATTTGCTCATTGCAAGGTCAGTGGTTGAAACTCACCAGCCCCTCCTTGGGAATCATATACAGGGCCACTGGATGGCATTTATCAACAACAGGAAGACACAGAACATGAGACTTTTCTTACAGAAAGTTAGAGTCCCAAGTTCTTCAAAGACATTCTTTGTTGTATCCTCTCACTCATCAGTTGAGATATAATGCATCTAAATGTATTGGTAGTCCATATTTCCACTTTCCAGAAATCTAGAGCCAACAAAGGACAGTGAGTATTTTGGGGTGAGCATAGATCATAAATCAAAGTAACCATCTCCAAATCCTGCTGTCCTTTGTTACTTTCTCTGTAAAAGGTCAGACTCCAGGCTCACTACCAGATGGTCTCAATGAGATAACAAATGAGCCAAAAACTTTCAGTGGCTCTCTGTTGCTTCATGCTCTGAATCTTACACCTACCTGTCTTTCATGTTCTGGGTCTAATCTGCCTTCTCACTCTGACTTTCTCATGATCTCAGCACACAGCCTCTGCTCTGATGAAGTTGTTTCCACCTTGTCTCTGCAAAAGCCTCAATTCTTTAAGCTTGTCTCTTCTCTGGTATTTCCCTAACAAATGCTTAGGAATGTTTATGCTGATCCTACCATCCATCATAGCATTCTTTCAGTAGAAATGTATTAAATGTCCATCATGTGACTTATACTGGTATTAGAAACTTGAACATATTCTCATGTTCTTAAGGGCGCAAGATAAGTTGCTGACTAAGCATGGCAGCATGACGTAACAAAAGTATTTGCAAGTTATCCTGGGGTACAGAAGAGGGAATATCTAATTCTTCAGGAGAGGTTGCTGTTACATGCCGTCAAGTCGATTCTTACTTATAGTGACCCCGCATAGCATTTTTGAGGCTATAAATTTTTATAGGAGCAGAAAGCCTCATCTTTCTCCTGTGGAATGACTGGTGGATTTGAACTGTTGACTTTTTGGTTAGCATCCCAATATGTGGGTTAATGCGCCAAACTGCAAAGCCATTTGAACTTCAAGGTCGGTGGTTCAAGCTCACCAGCTGCTCCTCAGAAACCTTATACAGTGTCGCTATGAGTCAGAACTGACTCCTTTTCGGGAGCGACAGTGCTGTGGAATAAACAGGAGAAGAGGAGAGGAGGAAGCAAGGATAGTCAGGTACAAAGGACAGCAGGGACAAAATCTTGGAGGGAAAAACTCAAGATATGTAGAGGATTCCAGAGGATGCAAGATAGTTGGGTTTTTGGGAGGTGGAAGGGAATGAAGATGAGATGAAGGAACCAGATTATTATAAATTCCAATGTGATACTAAAATATTTAGATTGGCTATCTCAAAAAAGATGAGGCTTTCTGTTCCCAGAAGATTTAAACCCTCGTCAAACCTATACAGGGTTGCCTACATAAGTCAGAACCGATTCCACAGCACTTAACAACAACAATAACAATTGTCTCTAATTTCCTAATAGTTAGCCCCCAGAATGGAACTTAAAACTGCATCCCTCCCTATTATTCCTTGTGTGTTTGTTCTGCCTTCTACTCATAAGGGCATATGCTATGCAGAGAGTAAGGATGAAGTCATAAATATCATTCAGTGTTAGTAAAGGGTTAGCATTCAGTAAACATTTGCTGGACAATCTTATAAAAAATTATAATGTGATCTTTTGAAGGACGTTGTAGTGAATTAAAACATTTCATTTCAGCAAAATTATCAGACAAATATTCAATAATGACAGGAATACACAGTATCTTCCTCAGGCCTGTAACACAAAGAGGAGCAAGCCAGGCCCTGAGCCATTTTCATGCTTATATCTTCTCATCCCCTTTACCCTACTGTTACTGCCTCAATAGGAGTTTTATGGAATAGAAGAGCAAGAATGTTTGATCTCTACAAGTCACTCCTACATTTCACCCACTACATAGGGAAAGAATGCAGTGGTGGAGAAAACTGAAAACGCAGTTTTTGGGGTTAAATACAAGGAAGCTTCAAAAAGTTTGTGGAAAATGTCCTTATCTTTCTGTTCTGTTTTTCTGTGAACTTTCTGAAGCTCCTTGTGTTTTCTACTAAACAGATGCAGGGTAAAAATGCAGTGCTCGTCGAGATATCATCTACCTGGCTCTGAGCGAGAGGTAGGAGAGGGTAACCTAGTCCTGAAGGGCTTGCTACTAGATGCTACTACATTGCTGGGGCTTATAAACAACTGCCTCCAGTTCCTCCACTTGCTATCACTGGTGTGTCTAGAGAAGCACACATTTTGCAGATACATGCCATGTTTTCAGTTATGTTTTTGGCATCCCCGACGCCAAACAAAGCATTAGCCTGATGACCTGTGAGGAACAACCCAAGGCGTTAGATGTCTGGGAAATAGCATAGGACTTCCAAAATGCCTCATGTAAGTCTATCCTGCTAGAGCTGTTGCTTGTTTTACTTCTCCAGATAAAAAGCAAGAACATTACTATTATTATTACTTCACTGACATTTTCTATGACATTCAAACCAGAAAGATCACCATGAGGCTAAACCCAAAACCCAAAACAGCAGCTGTAGAGTCCATTCCAACTCATGAAGGCACCATGTGTGCAGAGCAGGGTTTTCAATGGCTATGACTTTTTGGAAGCAGATTACCAGGACTTTCTTGCAAGGAACCACGGGGTAGATTCAGGCCATCAACCCTTCAGTTTGTAGCCGAGTGTTTAACTATTTGCGCCACACAGGGAATAAATGCAGGAGTGACAATTCATCAGCAGAATACTAAGCAGCATAGAAACTGAGACAAGAAACTCTTTCAAGTTAATACTGATATCTTCTTCACCCTTGTTTCCCCTGTAATGCTGAGTGATATACTGAAAAGGTCAAGGACAGAAATCAGATTTACTTCCATTCCAATCTCATCCATGCTACATTGGCTGTGAGTCCTTGGACAAGAATCTTCAGTTCACTGTATAAAGTTGGAGAACGTTAATTATTTAAAAGGCAAGATAACACTAAAAAAAATTTAGCTTAACAATCGCCTAATATATATTCATTTCTTTCTCCAACGGCCACTCAATGGATATTGAGTAACTGACACACCAGCAAGGAATCTAGTTAACTACCAATTTTATTCTAGAAGGGAAAGCTACAAGAACTATGGCAGCTATTAAAGGGTACTTTTGTCTGTATGCACTATACTGAATTTCTTCTAAACTATATTTCTGAAAAGGTAATTATTAAAGCTGAAGAACTGTATACAAGTGTGCTGAGTGGTATTAATATAAATTCACAGTTTCCAGCCTCAACTGGGCCTCCTTATGACAGGCAATTCTCCAGTTCCTCCATTTCAAATCCTCTCCACCCTCCCTTCTTGCTTATTCTCTGCAAATGATCTACCCTCTACATTTAAAAGAGAAGACAGATTATCAAACAGGGATTCGCTTTCCTTCCTGGCCCCATCTAAGACGCGTCTCACAGTTTTTCATCAGCTGACACCAGTAATGGTGTTCCATCTCCTCCCCCATACTAAACCACCCACTTGCTACTTACCCCACACCCTCCGGCCTCTTTCTGCATCTTGCTCTGTCAATCATTCTCTCTTGCTTTCCCATCGTGCCTCACTTACTGCTGTTCCCTACCTCACACTCTACACTTGAATAGTACTGAAGGGTTTCTTGTTCTTGAGCACACTATGCTCTGTGCTTCCGGATATATCACACCTTCTTACTGAATCCCAGCCACCTGTCCATCCCCCTGAAAAATTCCTGATAAATCTTGCCAGACTTTCTTTGTGCACTTAGGCACTCTTTCATTTATGTTCTGAGTGTACCTTGTACCTATCACTATAGCATGCTACCATGATATATTGTGACATCATTCTGACAGTTCTTTTAGGGCAAGGACTATGTCTTTATATATTTGTATCCCCAATGTTTAGTACAGTGCATGGTATGTATGGCCATATCATACTTATCTATTAAGTGAGTGGGTGGATAAAAATTAATTTATAGAATATTGCTGTTGTTGTTAAGTGCCATGGAGTCAATTCCTACTCATAGCAACCCTATATAGGATTTCCAAGGAGCGGCTGATAGGTTAGAAGTCCAGTGCTTATGCTACAGTGTCACAACAGCATGTCAAATTAACCAATATAGTACGAACTCAGGGCCTGAGAAGGTCATCCTCAAAGTGACCACAAGAGTAAGTCAAAAAGATTTAGGAAGATCATAAGCCTTCGGAGGAATCTATCTGACTGTAGAGATACCTACAGCAGTGAGTCTGAAGATCCTCCACACTTCTGATCTAGATAATCCAACATGAACATATTATACAAGTGGAGCTCACTGGTGTTGCGGCATTCATCCAATACATCAAAGAGAAGATGGAGAGTGAAGGAATAGGTTCCATTTTTAAGGCTGTTCACAAGAATTCAAATGATGATGTCATCATTCTCTACAATCTGTCACACTGGGGCCTGTTCAGATAGTGCTCCAAAACGCCTGTGGCTCTGATCCTGGGAAATAATAGAAATTCCTATTAGCAACCATAATGTGAATGACAAGCCACAAAGATATAAAACACTGGGTCAGAACATCAATTGCTACGTTCTCCCTGAGTCCTGGTGTGGCACTTTGGGTTTGAACTTCAAGGTCAGTTTGAACCGCAAGATTGGTGGTTCAAACTCACCAGGCACTCCTCAGCAACCCTATATAGGGTTGCTATGAGTTGGAACCAACTTGAAGGCACTTAACAACATCAACCCTTTAAAAGGACTTGTAGTGTGACACTGTAAGACCCGCACTGAACTGCGAACCACAAGGTTGGCCCGAAGTATGAGAGACGAAGTTTGGCCATCCTGGCCTCCAAAAAGCACTCTGGCTGCACTTCTTCTAATACAGACCTGTTGGTTCTTTTGGCAGTCCACGATGGCACTTACAATATTTTCCTCAAACACCATCCCTCAAAAGCATCAATTCTTCTGCGGTCTTCCTTATTCACTGTCCAGGTTTGCATGACATATGAGGTTATTGAAAATACCATGGCTTGGGTCAGGAGCACCTTAGTCCTCAAGCTGATATATTTGCTCTTCAACACTTTAAAGAGGTCTTGTGCAGCAGATTTGCCTAATGCAATACATAGTTTGATTTCTTGACTGCTGCTTCTGTGAGTGTTGATAGTTGATCCAAGAAGAAGCACATATTATTATATTTTGTCCTTTCTTAGTTGGCAAAATGAGGTCTAGTTGGTAATATCTTGGCTTCAATGGGCTGTGCAGGGAGTCCTAGTGTGGTGCTGCGCTGGTGGGTTAATGCGCTGGACTGCAAAGTTGGTTTGATCCTCAAGGTCGGCAGTTCAAGCTCACCAGTCGCTCCTCAGAAACCCTATACAGGGTTGCTATGGGTCAAAACAAACTCAATGGCACTTAACAACAACAACAACAAATGGGCTGTGCAAGTTAGTATGGGACACTTCTATAATACAAAAGGAACAAAATTACCAAATAGTGCTTTGTGGAATCATAGTAATAACTATAGTACAATGGACATGAATTCTGACACTGACAAGAAAGAAGTCATTTAAAGAGTCTAAAATCCTTGTCTCTTCTTAACCATTCCAGTTTGCAGTGGGTCCTGGAGTATAAGCCTTTAACTCTAGATGATCTACTTCTGAAAATTCAGCCACTGAAAAATCCTGTGAAGCACAGCTCGACTCTGACACACATGGGGTCACCAGAACTGATATTGGCTCGATGGCAACTGGTTTAGGTGGGTGATTGTGGCTTTTTTTAGATGGTCTGAGAACACACTGTTTGTTATTTCTATCCTTTTTTAACTTTATTGAGGTTTGTTTTATGGCTTATCATATGGCCTATCTTTAGAGACCTGGTGTGGCGCTGTAGGATAATGCACTGGACCCCAAGGTCAGTTTGAACCTCAAGGTCAGAGGTTCAAACTCACCAGCCACTCTTTGGAAATCCTGTACTATCACTACTGAACAAGAAAAGGTAAACACATTCACTGCCTTTTCCTCCCTGGAGACAAGCTGGAATGTTGATCAGGTTACTGAGTGGGACCAATCCCCCCTGCCCAGAAGACAAGTTAGAATGCTAAACTGGTTACCGAGCAGGACCAATCTTCTAGTTTCCCTCCTGTCTTCAAACAGGTCCTCAACCTAGCCCCTCCCCGATTCTGACCCCATATAAGACTGCACTGCCCTGCACTGCGGGCTCAAAATCTGGAGAAGTTAGCTCCTCTGAGCCAGCTGGCTTAATAAAATCTGAAACTCCGCTTCATCTCTCCAAGGGCCTCAGTTTCTTCGGCAACAGATCTAAAGCTGCTGTAACACTCTTGGATCTAACACTTCCGTAACACAATGAGTTACAACCGATTCCATGGCACTTAACAACAACGGCCTATCTTAGAGAATGTTCTCTGTCCACTTCAGAAGAATGTATATTCTGCTGTTGTTGGGTGGAGTGTTCTGTAGCTATTTGCTAGATTAAGTTGATTTATAGTGTTCTTCAAGTCTTTTCAATTCCTGTCTAATTTTCAGATTGATTATTGAAAGTGAGTTATTAAAGTCTCCAATTATTAGTACTGAATTTTCCATTTCTCCCTTCATTTCTGTCATCTTTGCTTCATGTGACTTGACGCTCTGTTATTAGAAGCATACATGTTTGTGATTTTTATGCCTTCCTATTGTTGTTGTTGTTGTCAGGTGCCATCGAGTTGGAACCGACTCATAGCGACCCC